TCACATACCCCTATTTAATGTCAAAGATCCTCACACTCATGCATAGAAGCACACACTCATAGGTCTGTTACTCTGTGAGGACAGCTTGTTCAGAGCAAAATGCTCCAGTTGTGGTTACCAAGGGCCCTGCTCCCTCTGTATACTGAAGCTGTCTCAGTTACAGGCTGGCTCGCCCAGCATTAGGAAGAGCCAGCTGTTCGCAGGTTGAGCAAGACTCTGAAATGCAGATGTCTGGAAAGGAGCCTTTGATGTCTCAGACTCCCAGGCAGCTTACATTTGAAATGACGTTATAAAACCCACCCACCCCCATGATCCTACTGTACCCCTAGACAGTTGCCACCCTGAAATGCAAAAGGGGCAGAACAACTGTGTAAAAAGAAAGGCAGCTGCTGCTCTTTGCAAGATCCACACTCAGTCAAATCCTCTTCTCCCATGATACAGTAAATTCATTCAGGAATCCTGATAGCATACATGCACAGATGTGACTACTCTCTATCACCCTAGGGCACCCCCCCCCCCAACACCCCCCCGCTCTACACTAGCAGTTAGGTCCCTAAGAGGCACCCTAGGCTGGGGCCTGGCTTAACACCCTGAGTATTTGCATTTTCTCACTCCCTTCCTCTTTGGGCTATCTCTGCCCACTATGTGTTTCAGTAACTCCAATGGGTTTTTTAAGTGCACGGGGCTGCATTTACATAGCTTACAGTCAAAGTCCAAACTCTGGCCATTGCCGGTGTGGGCCAAGTAATATATTCACCCTTTGGAAGAAACACAGGGGAGGCTTTGGTTCTTCACTGGGCTCGAAGCAGTCTCCTCCACACTCACCAAGTGCTAAAAAGGAACTGGAGCCAGTAGAATGACGGAAACATTGCAAATTCTGGCTGTTTCTTCAGAGGTTTCACATTAGCCAGGTCTCACTGGCCCCTGCTGACATTAGCTAGAGTTTAGCCAGATCGGATCTTTACATTGCAGTGTGTCCACTCAGCAGTGGCCCCTTGCAAGACTATAAAGCTTTGTCTTTAGCACCCTCCCACCTCGGCTTTCATGCCCTCTTACACCCACCTCGGGCACCCGATACCCTTTGGCTGCTTAGGACCATTTGTCTGCTCCCAATGGCAAACCAGCTCTCCCTAGCCAGTGGGTGAAGCTCTGGAACCCTCTCTGCCCTACCTTCTTTTCAATCATAAAGCTGGAAAGAAGTCAATAAACTAATTCACACTAATGTATTAATGTCTGATAATGGCACAACCACATTACCCCAACCAGGGAAATTTGTATTTTCACAGGGATTCTCTAATGATGCAATGCCCTGTAACCAGAAGAGGCTCAATAATTATTTGAAGTTGTGAGGGGGGTGGGGGTAGAGTATCTTTAGGCACCAAAACTTGGGAAAGGACACTCCCCAACAACTGCTAACAATTGTTTGTTGAATGAAAATATGTAATTGTTCACTTATGTCCTAAGTGTTGAGAGGAAATACAAAAGTTTAAATGAGATACTTTCCTTGCCCTTCTATACAAAAACCTGTAACACATAACTATAACACAACGTAAAACATGGTGAGCAAAAAAAGAGATAAAGCATTATTAGTTCTGAAGAAGAAGCTACCATTTCTGGCTGGGGTATCAGTTAAGTTTCATGAAGTAGGAGGCGTATGACCTGGCCTTGATCTCAATAAGTAAAGAGGAAGACAGAGATGGCACACTATATAAAGATTCGGCCTCAGTCAGAAGTACCTGGATTCAGGTCCTGCCTCTGACTCATCCTGGTTGTGAGACTTGGGGCAAGTCACTTGGGCAAGTTGCCCCAGGGAACTCTCTAAAGACAGAGAGTTGCAGGGCAAATGCTGTTCTGCATTGTAGGGGGTTTGTTTCCTCACTGGGCATTCCTTCCATGGATGGATCCTTCCAGAATTGTTTTGGGGATCAAATGGGATGATGTATGTACATCCCTTTGCAAACTTAAAGCACTATTCAAATGCTAGTTATTCTCATGACATCACAGATCTGAGCCAAAAAGGAAAAAAATAGGTAAGTAAAGGGAAGAAAGGATATTTCAGGTGTGGTGACCAGTGGCCACAAAACCAGGAGAGCTTAGGACCTGAACAGAGTGCAACAAATAGTCAGGGCAAACAGGAAGGCAGGGAAGGGTTTTGAGCAAAGAGGTGACATGAGCTGGTCAGTGAATGAGGAAGAGGAATCTAACAGAACTATGAAGAATAGATTAGAGTGGAAAAGACTGCAGGTAGGAAGACTGAGGAGTGCCCTAGAATGTAAATATACCATGGAGACAGCCGTCTATCTCACCTACACAAAAGATTAAGCACATTGTCCCGGTAGGAGATGCCCAGGCCTCAGCTGGAACCCACCTATCATCACCACAGCCCAGTTACATACATGTAACATGGAGACACTAAGTGGTAGGCTGAGGCGTCCACAGCATCTGCTAATGCTACAGGGTTTCTGAAGCAGGGATGAGTACATTGTATCCTCACTCTCCTTCCCTTCTGCTCCTCAGTATCAGGAGGAGAGTTAAATGACAGCCAAAAGTCCTCCAGTGTTCCTGCCTCCTTCTTCACACTGGCTGGTTCAGCTGTCTGCCAGCTATGAAATAACAACCAAATTTAAAAAAACCATTGCAAGCTGCCTTGATGCTGATGGGTAGCCTGGCCAGGCAGCCGTATCTTTTGTGAAGCAGCATTGCCATTCTGGAAAGACACCTGCCAAAAAACCTGGGCTACAATTCGAGTTCTGCTACTAACTTACTGTGTGACCTTGAATGAGTCACTCACTCCTCCTGGGATCAGTTTCCTCATGTGTAAAGTGAAATACTGGCTCTAGATGATGCCCAAGTTCTCTTTCAGCTCTAATAATGTGAGTCTGATTCTGTTTTCGCTCTCACTGATTCCCCTCACCTCTGAAGTTCTGCATAGAAGGAGATGGGTGTGTAGTGTATAGCCCATGGTTTAACTACCTTCTATTACTTCTGTCCTGTCTTGCAATGTTCAGTATTATTTTAGATATCTAGTTCTTATCTCCCCCTATAGAATGCCAGCTCCTTAAAGGGAAGAGCTATATCTTTTGTTTCTATATTCCCCAAAGGGCCTGGCAAAAAGCTGAGCCTGGAAGAGAGTTAATAAAAACCAAATAAATAGTTGCTCATGTCCTCTGGCCCTCCCAACAAGAGTAGAAAGCAGAGGTTAAGCAGCCCCTGAGCCACATGAAAAGTGGGCATGGAAATCACCACTGAAAGTTTTGCACCTGATTAATACTTGCTGAATTGAATTGACTTAGCTATTCATTTTAATTAATAGCTATTGGTTAATAATATCAGTATTAATTCATTGTTTCCTTGGTGCTAATAAGAGGAGTTTGCACTCTCTGAGCTACAGGGATTGAGTCCAGAGGACAGGAACTCTGCAGTTGCCGCCACTGATCCCGCTGCCCCTAAAATAGACTGTCCACTCGTGGATAACTGGGAACCGATTAGATCTTTGAGAACAGATGTACTCTACTCACCTCTTCCATCTCTGATTTAGTAACCTGGGTAGATGAGAACTCTGCTCCTCATCTACGTCTCACAATGGGCCACGACCAAGGTCAAAGTCAAGGTCTCTCTGTGAGCTTGTGAGATAGGGCAGGGCTTCTCAGAGGGGCAGACCCATAGCTGGAGCCAGCGGTGAGAAATAAGAAGAGGAAAAATCTCCAGAGCAACTCTTACAATGAAGTGACCTTGACATCTGTGGACTCAGCTAAAAAGACTGCTGAGGTGAGCGGTGCAAAAAGTGACAAAATGACCTCTGGCTGGTGTTGGGCAGGAGGCCTCCCTGCCCAGCTCCAGGATCCAGCATCAAAGGCAAAGACCCTCTTGTTCCCTCCTGCTCTACTTACTTTGCAATTGATGGAAGGAGACCCAGCCTGTCAAGGAACTGAGGATGGAGGACAGAGGATTTAATTCCACAGCACTTCTAAGACTCCTAAGCACCCCCTTGCCTCTTTCCCTTTGGTCCCACAGTAGAAAGGCACTTTCCTATTCCCAGGAAGCCTTCCTTCCCCTGCTGCATCTGAGGCAAGCCTCCCTGGCTTACAGCCCAGCTCTTTCCCTAGAGGGCTAGCCTTCCTGGGTCTTGGAGACCCTCTGAATGTCTCAGGATTCCCCAGGAGAATAGTGGCTGCAGGGTAGAAGAGCAGGGAGGTGAGGCAGCTGATGTACAAGGGGACACCGCAACCGAGCACATCTGGATTCCTGGCACCCGCCCCACATTCCTTCCCTGTGACTGAGAGGAGGCGGGGGCCTTGGGAGAGTGGTGAGGAGGCTGCAGTGCTTGCCAGCTTCCCTCCCACCAGGGCCTGGACCCCCTGGCCAGGCCAAATGGAAACCTGAGCCAACAGGAAACCTGGTCGTGGATCTTTCAGGGGTAAAAGGGAAAAAAAGGAAGCCAGGGAAGGCTTTGGAAAAATTTCCCCCATCACCTTTCTCCTAGGTTCAGGGAACTTAGAATCTCAGTCTCAAGTCTTCCAGCTGGGACAAGTTTCCTAGTAGGGGCCCTTTTCTGGCCTTTCTTTTTGGCCAGGACCTTGGGACCAGGAATCCCAGCATTCAAACCCATAAACTTCTCCCTTTCTCCCCAAAGTGTTGCAGCAGAACACTTGCCAATTCCACCCAATATCAAACTGGAAACGGGGCATGCAATCATCTTTATGCCAGCCTCTAACACACCCACCAACTGCTTTCTTAAGATAGGAAGAAAGAAAGGAAGGAAGGAAGGAATTAGGGAAAATAAGGGAAGGGAGGAGGGAGAGAGAAAAGGCAGACATTGGAGAAAAGCAGAAAGCTGCACTGGACACTCATCTTTGGAAGTGAGCAACGTTCAAGGTCAGATGTCTCCTTCCCTTCCACAGTGAGTGGTGAATTTTTCCAATGAACTTAGACCAGAAAAACCAGAGTCCTCCTGAGAGGTTGGGTGCCTTAGCCGCATGCTCAGGCAGCCTGGTTCTTACCTGGGGGCAATCTTTTATGTAGTGGCCCTTGTTGAAGCAGAGGTGGCAAAGGTAATTGGGGGGTGGCCTCTTGCTGGGCTTGCGGGCCTCAGAGGAGAGAGACAAGTCAGAGAAGTGCTCGGTGAGGGAGCTGAGCCCATCCACGATGTTGTTGAGAGAGCCATAGGGAGATGCACTCTTGTACAGGCTGCTGCTGAGGGCCTGAGCGGAGAGAAGTTTAGAGGGTCATAGAATTTAGTGTCAGAAGGGATCTTAGACACCATCTAGTCTAACCTACTCACTTTATAGAGAAGGAAACTCAGACCCAGAGAAGGGAAGGAGCTGGTCCCACAGTCAATTAAGTATCAAAATACAAAGCCAGAAGATGAGATGTGGAAGGAAGTTAAGAATGGGCCATAACGGGCAGTGAAGTTTGGGACCACAGGAGCTTCCATCCTCCCCTCTTCACACCAGCCTCAATACTTTAAATGTTGGTTGTGAGACAAAAGCCCTGGAGGAGAACTCAGATGATGCTCCCCACACACACCTCATTGTTATTTCAGCCCTGACTTTATTTGTTCCCCAGTCAAATCTGTCACTAGACCCACTGACCCCTACCCCTGCTTCCTGTGAGGCTGAGGTGGTAACAGTCTCTCAATGTCCAGCTGAGTCACCCAAGTGACTCCTACCTGGTCCACTGTGTAAGTGATTAGTCAGTATTAATGCAACTGGGGCAAAGACCAGTAAAGACACCCAGGGCCCACCCCCTGACCCCTTCCTCCCATAGCCCCCAGCATGAGTGAGCCCAGCCTCTGTCCAAATCCCTAGCAAGGCAGTGGCTCCTGGTCTGTCTGGATGAGGGAAACCAGACATCTCCCTTGGGCAGGGCTTCAGAGACAGTGCAGCCTGGCCCCCTAGCCTGATGTATACATGGGCTATTTATAGGCATCACCAGCTCCGGGCTTTGTTAGACAAGAATCTGACAGGAGAAGTGGGATGCACAAGACCACGTGGAGGTTGGGGCCACAGCTCAGTGATGACTTTGGAGAATGGCTGCTTATCCTCATTTTAACCCAGGAGAGACTGAGGTCTGAAAGAGGTGGCTTCCCTCAGAATGGGAGTTGGGGGTAAGGGAAGGCCAAGGCAGGAATAGACCTCAGATACTCCTAGTTCCCCATCCCAGTTGGGCCACTAACTAATTTTATGCAATGGGCATATGGAGAATGGGGCACCACAGCCTCTGCCCCCAAAATGTTCTCAGGTCAAGGCTTAACTCCTCATTCTGCCTGAAGCCATGCAGAAGGTTATGATGACAGGTAATCTCTTGGCCCATAAGGGTTCCAAAGCAATAGAAAGGGAACGCTTCCCTGGATTCCTTGGCTGACAACTTCATCTGCAGGTCACTTTATTCTGTATTATCCCCACCCCAGAACTGAACCCTTAAAGCAGCTGTTCATTCTATCAAACCACAGTACCAAGTTCCCATGATGGAAAACAGGAATCTCTGTGCTGCTGACCCATGGCATCAAAGGAGTCCTTGGGGGGATAAGGGAACAAATGGTATCATACAACCCGCCCTTACATGATTTGGGATTCAATATTAGTCACCTCCAAAGAAATCCAGGCAGCTGGCATCTGCCAACTTCATTTTTTCCTTTTCATTTCATCCAAGACTTTTGAGGGCTTTGAAAAACAACAGAGGGCAAAGAAAACCAGATTAAGAACCAAAAGACCAGGGTTCTACTTCTACTGCTAAATGACCGTGTGACCTTGGGCAAAGACCTGCCTTCTACTGGCCTCAGTTTTCCCATTCATGAAAGGGGAATAATAATCTCTGCTCTGCTAACCTCACCTTGGGGTACTAATGAGATGATCAAATGACATAATAGATATGGAAGCACTTTGCAAATGATAAAGCAACGTCAGGTACCGTGTAAATGACCTGCTGAAACTCCAAGACTGATTTTTAGCTCCTCGAAGATCGGGCTCCGGTTCTGACACCAAGAAGTTGACCCAAACAAGAACTCAGAGCTCCCAAACTGTGCCATCAACCTCCATGGCAAGTAAATTTCAGAAATAGTAGCATCTCCCCTCTTCAACTTTTTTTTTTAATAGAGATTTATGAGATTCTACAGGAATCAGTAATGCTCTGGCAGCAAAATGCGGGTGAAAAAGGAAACCTACTGATTAAGTCTTAACAAAGCTCTCCCCACTCTGGCCGCCATGTTCAGCTACCCACTGCCACTGCCACTGCCACAGACACCACTTCTCCTAGGGCTCTCTGAGCATTCCATCTTCTTCCATAACACTCCCTACAACTACCTTTGCATTTATGCAGGATTTTCCTAGCCTTGCAGGAGGATTTGGGGGGACTAATCTAATTCTGGTCTGGTAAAGAAGAGCCTCCCTAAAGTGTTAGGTCCAAATTTCATTTCTCTTCCCCCACCCCTCCACCAGCTCCAATTTACCAAACTTCTGTTCTGACCAGTAAGGCACACTGCCATTTCCCTGACCCCTTTTGACCTCTTTCCAAAGCTTTCCATAAAAGGTTGGTGACCTTAGGGGTGGGACAGTAATGTTTCCTCTCTCAAAGCCATCCAGAGGCTGCTCAGTTCCTGGAGTGTGTATGGGGAGGAGGAAGGCTGAAGGGGGATGGGGAGGAAGGGAATAGATCTGGAGAATTTCTTAGAGATCAAGGTGAATGGGTGCAAGCTTGCACTTGGACAATTGTCCTGCCATGATTTCCCACAGACTCCCTGGATTCCCTGTGGGGGAAGGGGAACCTCTGGCTGTTGGACCTCTTGGGGGAAAAAAAAACCCACAATCAAAACTTGTCTTTGGCAACACTCCCCCTAAAATATAGCTTTTCGACCTATCACAAAAGTCTGAGGAAAGGAAGAAGAAACATGCAAGATACAGGCCAAAAAAAAAAATACACTGGAAAATTAGAAGAAAGCTGATTCATTCTATCCCACTGGCTGCTGTTCTCAAAGAAATAGGGCTTTCTCTAGAAGACCCAACAGCATACATCTCTGCTCCCTTTGACATTCTCTCTCTCTCTCTCTCTCCCCTCCCTCAGGCTCTCACCCATAAGACAGGAGACCCACTACAAAAATGCCTCCTAGGACAGATTTGGACCCAAGCCACTACAAAGGAATCTTGGAGTGGGGGAGAGGGGGAAGAGGGAGAGGGCAAAGGAATCCTCTTGCTCACTCAGCCTCCTCCAAAAGTGATGGCACTGAGATTCCAAAACCAGTCTGATTTTTCCTCCAGTTAAAAGACAAAAAGAGAACAAAATGATAAAAGCCAAACTCAGAGATCTATCTCCCCATCCCCTGAGCTCCAATGGTAACTGCTACTTCTATCATGTTTGGAATTAATGTTGATGACTTGTCCAGTATTGTTCATTATCTTTTTGTGAACTACCTTACCAACTAGACTGTAGGCTCTTAAAGGGCAGGAACTATATAGTGTACACCTTGGTATTTGCCATATCACCTACCAAAAGACTAAAAAGGTAGTGGGACTTAGCAAACCTCAATGCCAGATCACCCATTTCTAAGATGCCTTCTCTACTCCTGCTCAAATTCTATGGGAAGCCTACTGAGACTACCTCATGGGCAGCTAGGTGGCACAATGGATAGAGTGCCAAGCCTAGAATCAGGAAGACCTGAGTTCAAATCCAGCTCTAGACACTAGCTGTGTGATGCTGGGCAAGTTACCTTACCCTGTTTGCCTCAGTTTCCTCATCTGTAAAATGAGCAGAAGAAGGAAATGGCAAACCACTCCAGTATCCTTGTGAGGAAAACCCCAAATGGGGTCACAAAGAGTCAGTAACAATTGAACAACAAATTCATTTTATCTAATCTCCATTGGACCCTCATTGCATACACTGTGAACTCTTTCTTCTCCCCTACTCGATACCTCAGAACTCTGAGACATCATCTTCTTTGTTCCAGTCTCTGAGAAAGAAGTGACTTCTCTCCATGCCCAGGTCAATGCCTCTACTTCTACTCTTGATCTCATGGCCCCCCACTTCCTCTGGGAGCTTGTCCCCTTTAACCGTTCTATCTCATTCTTTCAATTTCACTTTCTCCATATCTACTGGCTCCTTCTCCACTATCTCCAGACATGTACAAGTCCTCTATTTTTCAAAAGCTTTCACTTCACATTGCCATCCTTTCAAGCTAATAGCCTATATTTTCACTCTTTCACAGCCAAACTCTTAGAAAAAAGTAATTTTCCTCATTGATCTCATTTACATGTCAATTCTCAACCTAGTGCCATCTGGTTTAAATCCCACCTACTGAAATGGCTCCTCAAAAGTTACCAGTGATTCAAAGGTCTTTTCTTGGTCTTCCTCCTACCTGACCTCTCTACAGCTTCAGAGTATAGACCACTTCCCTCCTCCTGGATACTCTGTCTTCCTTTTGTTTATATGGTCCTGCTCTCTCCTGGTTCTCCTCCTACCTGTATAATTCCTTTTCTCTTTTCTTTGCTGGATTACCATTTAGCTTCTGTCTCTTTAGCATGAATGTCCTCCAAGGCTCTGCCCTTTCACATTCTCATGGACTCTCAGATTCAATTATCATCTCTATGCCTACAACTCTCAAATCCATCTATCTATCATCTATCCATCTAGCCCTCATATATCTCCTGGACTCCAATCCCATTTCTCCAATCACCTGGTAGATGTCTCTACCTGGATACCATGTCAGCATCTCCAATTTGTCTTCTCCCTCTAAATCTTTTCCTACCCTGAACTTCCCTACTTCTGCTAAAGGCATCATCAACCCTTCTGGTTACTCTGGTTTGCAACATCCAAGACATCTTAGATGCTTACTTCTTTCTCCTCCCCCACCATATATAACCTTTTACCAAATCCTGCCAATTCTATCTTGACAACATCTGGTAAATCTGTTCTCTTCTCTTCACCCCCACCATCAGCACAGTTCAGATGTTCATTATCTCTATTGGAACAGCCTCCTAACTGGTAGTCTCTACTTCTGCTTCTAGTTTCTCCATTTTCTAATCCAGCAAAATAATCTTCCTAAGGCATAAGTTTGACCAGGTCATTTCCTACTCAAGAATCGATACTGGCTTCACCTTGCCACTAAGACAAAAAACAAACTCCTCAATCTGGCATTTAAAACCCACCATAAGCAGACTCCAACCTACCCTACCAGACTTGTTCCTTATAATTTCCTTTCATGCATGTTATG